GGTAAGGGAGTTTCACAACTGAGTCAGAGTAAGGACTATTCCACCAGGTACAAAATTGTAAAAAAGTTTAATTGTTCCAATATAACTTAAAATCTCATCATTTACATGGAAGTACAATTACAATGTGTAATAATTATTTCTACAAGAACTCTTCTGACTTGCATGAATTTGACAAATCTCTCTGGCTTTCTTAATGTCCTAATCTTTGCATTTTCATCAGTTAAGGTATTATTGTGGTTACTTTAAAATGTTATCTAAAAGTTATTATCTTATTATTTTATGTCTTACTAATACATTCATATAATGTACTAAAGTAAATGTGAATACCTCTATTGTTATACATATGTTATAAAAGTAATATCAATACTTCAAGATTCAGAGGAGCCAAACCGCAAGAAGAAGCGTCGCTCACAGTCGAACAGCAAACGGCAGCGGTCGTTGTCGCCGCTCAGCAAGCGCATGGCAATATTGGGCGACGGTGACTCCGCATCACGCACACACAACTCGCAGTTCAACCACCCCTACGGCTACCAACCCCCGCCGCCTCCCATGGAAGAGCCCACCAATGCTCCAATCCGCTCACAAGCTGATTTGGACTATGAAATGAAAGTGAGTATTCTATTATGTTCTACTCAACTTTGATTGTCAAAATATATTGTTGCCTCTATCTTTCTGACATAAGTTCATTATATTATCCACTTTACGTCTTGAAGTCCTAACATCTAATATTCTTACTATTTACTTTTTTTCCAAATCTGGTTTTGTAATGTAAAGTTATTTATAATTAGGTACGCAAGTTCCTGGAAATGACCAAAGAAGACTCCGACTATGAAGACAAAGTGCGTAACTTCCTGGAAGAGACTGCGCAGTACAAGCGCAACCGCAAGATGCAAGAGCTCGGCCAGCAGCCGCAGCCCGGCGCAGACCACGACAAGAAAAAGAAGAAGAAGAAGGACAAGTAAGTCTCAAAATCTATAACTAATGAACTTATTAGGCCGAGTGAGAAGAGCACTATTATAGCTGTTAGTTCTGTTAGAAAATATACTTAGAAATAGAAAATTACAAAACCATGACATGATAGTTACAATCCGATAAAAATCTTGCGGTACTTTTGTGATATTCTAGTTAATATAGACAGTTATAGATGATTATTATTTTGTACAGGAAAAAGAAGAAGGAGTCCAAAAGGAAGCGCAAGGAGCAGGAGAGAGAAGATAAAAGAAAAGCCAAGCTGGCGCGATCCGCTGCCAATAATGCGGAATACACCTTACGTGACCTAGAGAACATTGGAGATAAGAAACTGAGAGATGCCATTAGGTAATTTTTAATAAAAAGTCCAGCATTCATCATAATCGAAAGAAATTATTTTATTATCCTGAATACAAAACATGCTTTATACATAAAAATCATCTAGTAAATTTAACACATGAAATTATCTTTGTCAAAACACACCTGTTCTTGTCTAAAACTTAATAGTTGCTACTTATTTGTATTCTATTCTTACTAGTTTGTGGGTATTAAGTATCATCAATATTAAAAATATTAATATTGCAGGAAGGAATTGAAAGGAAAATCTAAGAGGGACCTCAGTTCCGATGGAGAATATGAAAGAAAGCACAGTGAGAAGAGGTATTTTACATTAAATAATACATGAATTAAATTTAAAAATGTTTATTAAAGAGAATATAAAAACGCCAACTAGGAGAAGAAAGGCAAATTTTTAACTTTTAAATATTTTGGTAGGTTGATGGAGGACATGCCGGGCTTGGACGACTTGGAGTCCAAGATCAGCGCGTACCACGTGATGGTGGAGAAGGAGGCGATGAAACGCGACGGCCGCGCCTCCGTCAGCCCCATCGACCAGGCCCCACCGCCGCCGCTGGAGAAACCCAAGTGGAAGATGTCCATGAGCGCAGTCAAAGAAACGTTCGTAACATTTTAAAACACACACTTTGTATGGCTTCACATGCGTTTTGTTTGAGCAAAATTTCCTCTTTTGTATCTCTAACAGTGTTCATTATGGACATTCATGACAGGGCAATAAAATGCACTAAGGTTCTAACAGTACAGCATATAGCTTAGAATTTATGGGCAATACACACAGATTATTTTTTAGTAGGGTTAAGAAGAAAGATACGCCAGTACAGAAGGGATACAAAGAACGTTACGCGTTTGAAGATAGTTCTGATGAATCACAAGAGCAAACTAAGGTAAGTTAAGATTTTATTAAGAATAAAAAAAACATGAAACCAAAAGTCCTCACATACTTATATTGAATTAATGTTGTTAGCCGTCACCATCGAGTGGAGACAAGAACGTGTCTGTGCGACGCGCCATGGCGATGAAGGAGCCCTCTGGTAGTGGGAGCACGGGCAAGTCACGCGAGCCCGACCCGCCCGGCACCGAGCCTCAGCACCACCAACATGCGCATCCCCCGGTATATATCCCTGCTTCCTCCTTTATAGTGCTATAAAGTTCATGTTCAATTGAACTTGATATATACTTAACCATTTTTAATTTCTTCCAATTCTCCTTTTCCTATTACTTCGAGAGATGTTTTACCAATGTTATTTCTATCTACATTTATTTTTAGAAATAAAAGTTGAGCATCTTTAAAAATTTATGCCATTGAATACCCATTATGTTTTCATTTTAGTTGGTTGGGTGATATCAGTGGCAGTTTCATTTTTTTTATTATTTACAGCTCGTTTTTATTTTTTGTTATTTTTTATTTACATCCACAGGTGCGCAAAGGCAATATAGTGCTAGACAAATTCGGTTCGTTCCGATTGGCGCAGGAGGGCGAGACTCCGGTGTGCGTGGGCGACGCGCGACCCGAGCAGTTCGTGACGCGCATCAAGCCGCCCTCTCCCGCCGCCCGGCGCCCGCGCTCTCCGCCCTCGCCGCCTTCACCCCGCCGCCGCTCCTCTAACTCCTCCGATGACGACCGTCGCTCGCCCAAGCGCTCCCGCAGCAGGTCAACATTCATATATACATTTTATTGCCACGAAATAGACTTATGACAAACACGCATGTGGGCCTTACAGTACAAATCTTGGTGGAATCTAGGATTCCATTACCATCCACGTAAAATTTGTTAGCAGGTCGCGGCCTCGCAAGTATCGATCTCGGTCCGGTTCGCGATCGCGGTCAGCGTCCACTGGTAGTGGATCGCCTGCGTCGCGCCGCCGTCGCTCGCCCTCGCCGCGCTCACGGAGCCGCTCTGACGCCAGTCGCTCGTACTACTCGCGCAGCCGGTCGCGCTCCCGCTCTGGATCCAGGGACAGGTAACCACACTGCACATCAAATGGGCCAGTTATAACGTCATTGTATCCATATTCAACTTTTGACGATTGGGACAACAGGAGCAAACACATGTAAACTATTCAATTTTTGAAATCATTAAAATGAATTTCTTGCAGAATGCGTCGCAACAACCGGCGCGGCAACTGGCGCGGACGTGGTGGCTTCGAGCGCGGCACATACTACCGGCCACGCTTCCACACGTACAACGGCAACAGCCGGGGCCGTGGCCGCGGGGACTTCCGCCGCGACGATGGCCGCCGCTTCCAGCCCGACTGGCGCGACAACCGCTCGCGCGGTGGACGGCCCTTCCGCCCGCGTCGTGGCGGCGGTGGCAGGGGTAGACCTTTCAGGTATGCAACCATATATGTTTGACTTATGACTTGTTTTTGTTACAAAGAGACAACGCTAGGTAAGCAAAAAGATAGCTTTCATGAAATAAAACAAGATAAGTTAATTTAAGCTTTCAAAATGTTGTTTTCAACAGAGGCGGGTTCCGTGACTTCCGCGACCGGCGCGGCGGACGATACTCTCGCTCCCGCAGCCCCGACCGCACACGCCGCTCGCGCTCCTACAGCCCCGAGCGACGCGAAAAGGACAACAGGGATAGGTATGTAGCCTCACACCTTGCACCATTTATGTACTGCATCTATAGTTAGTGGCCTCCGCTGTAGGTTCGCTACTTAGCACCACTAATAGTGTTGAGTTTGATATGAGAATATAGCTCATGTTTTTAACCACAACTCAGTCCTTTCCAAGTTATCTGTGTATGCTATAATGTAGATTAACCATAATGTCCCTCCAAAATTATATTTGTCATCACATACTGTTATAGTAAATATTTGTTTGGTTTGTATGTGTTGATGTCAGTAACAACTAGATTACCCAGAAACTAGTTTTACTTTTATTAATTTTAACCTCGCTTTTTGACATTGCTTTTTTCCTACTAGCATAGTGAATTAATATTACAGCTACTCTCGTTTGTCCGAACGCAACAGCCACCGCAGCGAGGGCGAGTACGAGGAGGAGCGCTACGTTGACCGCAAGGAGTACGACGGAAAGTGGGCCGACGGCAACGAGCCCGAACGATCCCATCAAGAAGAAAAGGCCCCAGAGGAACCACCCAAAGAATAGACCCACAAAAACCCCCCACCCTTACCCCCGACGTACATGTTTCTTGCTAAGATTAGTTTTTAAATTATACTATAAGGTGCTTACAGATTTAAACATAAGTTTCATTTTATGTAGGAATTCAAATTGTAAATATATAAGTGGCTACAAATGTAACAATTCATGTTGACTCTTGCATTTTGTTTTTATATAAACAATAATTTTATTGCATTATTATTCCTTTTTGTGTTTATTCAATAACTTGTGGCTTTGTATTATGATTTCTCACAAATAGTGTTTTAGTAATCATTCCAGTGTAGCACTAAAACTCGACTAAATTACAAATATAGATAATTCTATTGGTGTGTAATAATTGAAAATAAACATTAAAATCAAATTTTTTATTTTAATTATTTCCTAATAATTTATATTAACATGTAAAAAACAGGTTATTAAAAAAAACAAATATAAAAATAGGATTTTAAATACATTCTGGTAACAAACAGAATCCTGTTTCCCTCTTCCTGAATCTTTGGTCTGCACAAAATTGCTGGATCATAAAGTAAGAAAAAGAATGAAAGAAAAAATATTCTATTAAAAAATTTATTGATAAAATAAAGGAAAACAGTGCCAAGTAAACTGTTACAACAATTGTTTTCAGTCTGTACTTAATATTATTCTAACTGGTGTACAATTTTAACTCTACTTTATTGTAATATGGATGACAGCAAACAATCTGTTAATGCCAACAGTCAATTGACATGTTAAGGCACTAGTAATTTACAGTAAAATCCACCTAAAACAGCGTTTTCAAGACCCAAAACTCCTTAGTAACAATATTGTTTCTTACTGTAAAATTGACTGAACAAACAGGAAACTACAAATAGCATTACCATGTTATTTAATGATTTTTTTCTTTTTAAATAAACTATTTACTACGATTTTACTTTTCAGAAAAAACAGTGATTTGTTAATGTTTGTAGTTTGGTTTCCACTTTTCCATTATACTGTACTACACAAAATTGCCAGTCCCTCCATAAGTAGGTATAAAAATAATTTAAAATATCTAAATAATCAATCACCATACTAATAAAAAACATCTAATTCTTTGAGTTTTATGTGCGCTTCTTTTTTTTCTTGTTCTTCGTAGTTGTTGTCTTAACATTCCAGTACCAGAAGAGCTGCAGTACCAATGCTGCATTGGTGGCAGTCGACACACAGTATGTAAGGATGATGATGGAGTCACCAGTCTCTTGTATTGAAGTGAATATTCTAGCAATGCTTCCACCAAACAGCAATGCACAAGTTACTGCCGATAACTGTCCTGTGCTACCATTCTTATAATTTGTTATTATTTGTATAGCCTGAAATTAAAATACTCAATAAAGTCAAGTCGCAGACTCGGAGAGTCAAGTTAAAAGAAACTGTTTTAAATTCAAAGTTTGTTAAGTAGAATAAATTAACATATTTTTTGTTATATGCTAATGTAAATAAGATTTTACCTTTGCAATGACAATGATTGGTACATTAATGGCTTGCATAGACCATAACACATCCTTTGGAGTGTAACCACTGACAAGTGTTGAAACAAGTCCTACATAAACAGCTAAAAATGTTGCAGCCTTCAAAGAGTTCCCTCCATAATGTAACACAAGGGCAGCTATGATTGCTGTTTGTATTGCGAGGAATGTTCCTTCACCCCATGCACTACAAAAATAAAATTTCAATAAAAAAGTTCTCATTTAAAACTCCATGGATATTATTCATCTCAAAATTACCTGAATGGAAAGTTCATAACATAACTGTATGAAAAATTTGCAGTAATAGCAAAGAGTTCTAAATAAACTCCATAAACATTAATGCCTTCAGCACTTTTACTACCCAATATTTTCAAAATTTGAGGTACTTTTACCAATATCGATCCAGCTATAATGCCAATCCCAAGAGCTTTGCTTAAAGTGCTTTTAAAACATGGTACTGAAAAGATGAGAAATTAATGAAATATAACCTATCATTAAAAATATTTATTTGGTTGGTTTCACAAACTGCAAAATATGATATATTACTTACCATCAAGAAAGTTGTAATTAAGAAAATATTCGTCGTAGCATTTTTGCGATAAAATCGATAATAGTAGACCTTTGACAAAATCAGCCATTTTATTTTAATTTCGTTACATTTATTTATGTTTAATCTATCGTTAAAATATTATCAAGTAAATAATTTAAATTGTAGTGTAAAACTTAGCTATTTATGTTATAAAACCTATAATATTCAAAATATTCTACTCCACTTTATTGGAATACTGACATGTCGTGTTGATACCGCAAATTATGACGTTGTCAACAAATGTCATTCCACGTCGTTCCTTTTTAACTTTCTATTGATTAATATTTGTCATCTCATTTTTAAAACGAATGTGATAGGATACCTGGTTATTTAATGTAGATTTTTAATTTGTAGAATAGATATTAATTATTAAGGCAGGGCCACGCGTTTACGCGGATTTCGGTTGGATGATGCACCGAGGTTGTATCATGTCTATAACCTAATATATTGTAGCGCACAATCATATGTATTTCGATGACTCCATTCGTTCACATAAATAAAACAACACATTTAATGACATCATTTATTTTCAAGTAGTTCTATTTTACGGTCATCATTTGCGACATTTTCTTACAAGTGATTTGATGAATAGTGGTGATGCTTGACTTTTCTTGCGCCGAGGACGTCTTTAAAGTTATAAAGAAATCATAACACTAAACGAATATATGGAATTAATTGTTCAAATAGATCTATTTTTGCATAATTTCCTAAAACTATAGCATTACAAATAGAATAATAATTAAAACGAACCATGACACATTAAATATGCAAACATAGTGGACATCAAAGTACAAAAACATATTAGAATTTAGATTTTAAATGTAAGGAAAAACAAGATAAATTAAACAAATCATACATACATCAGTATCAGAAAAAATAATAAAATAACAAATTTCTTGTTACACAACATGAAATATTTGTTAATGTTTTGATCCAAAGAAAATTTGCCAATATGTAGAACACTATCTTAAGAAAAACGTTTAGTACGATGAGGTTAGGTAATTGGGTAGTTTTATATCTAAGAAAGTATAAAAAATCGTTTTTTTATCATAATATTGTTGGAAATTCAAGTATTAAATATATATTGGTGTGTTTATTTCATACTATAAAATATAAAGCACTTATTGCCACATAAAACGTGTGGAGTTATTAAAAAAATCTGATAAATTGACACAAATATTCCCTTATCTATATTATTCTATGTACTCACAATACATTGAACAAACCTCTAATTCCGCTAACATGGTGTTTAGAAATCCTGGATTTGAAACACATTTAATGAATCTTCCAACGTGCAATGTAAGCCAATCATTTCAATTTCACAATATGAATTTTACTTTAACTGTAAAACTGTAGCTGACTTGACATAATATTGTTTCACCTTATAATTTCACAAATTAATCTAGCCCAGTCAGTGATGCTGTTATTGCTATTAGTTCTGTCAGGGGCTGCTTTAACTTTGACCATGGGGCTAGATAAATTTGCAATTTTTGCATTTGTTAAATTGTATTTTTTACCAAATTCTTATAATTATTAGCTATTCTTCAATGATCAATAAATTTTATCTATTATCAACTAGCGTCACTCACTTTACTATCGAATTTGAAAAAAAATGTTAAATCTATTGTAAATGAGCAAATCTTATGTTAAGTCTACGGACTTTTTTCTAGCTATTGTAATTTTAAGGCAAATTTAAACAATTTCATGTATCAAACTTTGTCAACTGTTTCTTTTGTCTTCATAGTTATAATTATTTGAGAAATATTTGTTGTCAAATTCATAAAAGGAACAATTATATACATATTTCCCATGGTCCTGTGTGTATAGTTCATTTCACATTACCATTTGTACACTATCCACTCATGAAAGAGGTTTCAACGAGAAAGACAATTTAGGTCTTGAATTATTTTTGCCCAATATTTTCTTTTGTTCTTCCTTAACTCTCTTTTCTTGTTCTTTTTTCAACTTCTGTCTCTCTTCATCCATTTTTCTTTGCTCCTCTATCATTGCTAACCTCTCTTCCGCCTGGATATTTAAAAAAGTTATGTTAAGAGAAAGGCAAAATTATTATGTATGCAATAAAATGCAAACTCTAAATAATAAAACTTGTTTAAAATGTTAATGGAGCTATTTAAAAGCGAAACCAGTTATTTCAAGGATTTTTATCTTATTTATATTGAAAGAAATACAATTCACTTTTAATGGTAATATCACAGAAATAATAGTGTATTATTTTAGTTCTATTAAGCTATTTCTATCTTTTTGCATATTACGATTTTTAATTATTATTTACTAGCTATTGCCCGCCATTACGACCGCGCGGAATTAAAAAAATGTATTCTTTCAGACTATGTTCTATATATATGCCAAATTTAATCGAGATCCACGCAGAATTCTGGACATACCTAACTAATATCCATCGAAACATTTACAATTAAAATATTAATAAGATTTATAACTAAACATATAAGATATTAACAAAAAAGATTACAACTTACCAACTTTCGTTGTGCCTCTTCAATTTTTTTGTTATTTTCCGCCATGATATCCTCCAGCTCTTTCCTTTTACGAGCTTCTTCCTCCTGTATAATAAAAAATTACCATTAATTGCAATCCCCCACCAACACCTAGTTGCAATAAAACAAAGAAAATAACAATAAAAATCATAATTCAATTTACATAACACTGTAGCATCATGTGTGCGAGTTCAAGTCGTTTGTGTGTACAAAAGCCTGAGAATAACAACAATATTTTAATACAATAACGCATAGCATTGTGCAAAATTTCTTTAAACTATCAACTAAAACATATCGGTATCATCCCTAAGTACTAGAGTTGTGTGGAAAGTGTATTTGATGGCACGTCATTTTTTATTTATATTTATCATGACATTGTATTATGTATTTTAAACATAAAATGTTGTTATACAAAAAATAGATTCAAAAAATACCTTCAGTGTTCACGACAGGATCCTCAAGCTGCGTCTCCGAAAAATTCTTACGGCTTCTGGTCTTGATCAGTCTTCTGACCTGACTTATACACTACGTGACTGCCAAGGACAGTCAAGTGAACAATTTTAAAATGCTAGCCTGAAGCCTTGTCGGCGATCTTACAGTTAGGCAGTTCATGACAAATACAAGTCTGCCTTGACAGTGCAAATGACATGCATGTGGATTAATGGATGTTGAGTTAATCATTACAAGATTGTCAACAAATACTGACAACAAAGAGTTCAAGAAAATAATTCTTGTAAGCACTCGTACTACACCTGACCGGACCTTTAACAGATATGATCGAAACAATACTTTAATTAGTTACTCTTGTACATATGGTTGGCATTACTTAAAACATTGAAATGTACAAATTGTGTTTATTAGCTGTAAAAACGCTGTGGTCTCACAGCGTCAGTTTGGCCATGTCCAAAATCAACATTTGCCGTTGTTTGTGCACATGGCTGATAGGAGTAAGGCGCAGTTACCTGTCTAGCAAGCTCCTCGCGCCGCTGCTGTTCTCTTTGTCGCTCAAGCTCTTGCATCATTTCTATTTCCATCTTGCGTTTAGCTTCCTCCACTCTTTTCGCCACCTCCTGTTCTATTTCTTCTTTGCGTTTTTCTAATTCCTCTTCGACTCTTTTCTTCACAAGTAACTCTATCCTTTTTGCGGCTTCTTCTTCAACCACCTAAATAAAACATTGAGACTTAGTGTTTCAAAGGTACATTGAGACATAGACATCAATATGACATCATTAATTTACAAGTATAGTGAAAAACTAAACAGTGATTACTTTATAATACAAAAACTCTACATAATGTCACTAAACTTGAATGGGTTATATTCAAGTGCAAGATATTACATACAAATTATAACAATTCGGTGTTTTATTTTAAAATCAGTTGGTAAAAACATAACAACTTATCATCTTCTTTTTCCTTGTTCATTTTTTCTTATTTAACTATTTATACAACAAACATTCCATTTATTTTAATTCAAATCCTTACCAATAACTGCGAATGAATAGTGCCAGGTCACACATGGGAGGCAGAGTGTAAAAAAAAATTCAAGTATAAAAGCTAAATATTCAAAACAATTTGGGTACAAATAATTTATTAGTTACACTAAAATATTTAATATGTTAAACAAAATTATTTATGTGTAAATGTATACTCCAAATAAATTAATTAATGTTATTTTAATTTCATATACAAGACAATATTCTCTTTAAACATATATATGTTTGGTATTATTAAATAAATAGTACAGTTAAGATGTCTTATCCCGCAGTCTGCTTACCTTTAGTATTTTAGAGGGCGTAGTAGCAGATCTTGTGCCTGGCAGGGGTTCCTGCATGATCGAGAGGTGTGCATAATGAACAGGTAAAAGTGAGGAACATCTTTTACTTTCATACTGTTACATTTTAGTAATAATAATTATAATCTTTCTATACACATTGTTTTGTATAATATGGGTTTCTATTCATGAATTAAATTTTTATTTACACACAACAGATTCTAGTTGTATTGTAAAGATTTTCTTATTTTTTTTATGTTGCTACATTGTCATTGATAGTCCAATACCTCTTATTATGATTTTGCAGCCATAGATAGCTTTGAATTTTCCAATCATTCAGAAAACAAGTAATGTAACAAAAACATAGTTTTTTTTCCCGCATCTGTATATCTGCATGGCCATTTTGTTTTAAGGAATTATTATTAGGAATCTCTAGAGCCATGGGTGGACCTTGCTCTGGTCTTATAAATTTCTCCACTACTTTGGGCTTTTTCTTTCCAGTTAAAATTAGTTTCAATAAATAAGTGTTTGAGTGGGACTGAAGCATTATTTTACTATTTTAAATTAGGTATTATAATGATATAGAATCATGAGGCCATTTATTTTTTAACAACTTACTAAATTAATGCATGAGCAGTTCTAATTTAGTTTTTTGGTCTACCTATCCAAAATTTACATGTACAGTGTTTTAAAATGCTACATACAGGGTATTAGACTATCATTAACAATTTGTATTGATAAAAAATTAATACTAAAGTCAGTCAACAATAGCATCAATATTTTTGGTTTATGATTATTTGAAATATTGTTGAGATTTTGTGATTGTATGCTTAATATTGTTGATTAGTAATTGCTTTTTATGACAGAATATTATGTAAAATAATATTTCATATTATACAAAAGCGGTATAAACTAATTTACTAGTTAAAATTATTTAGTATTAAAATATTTCAAGGGAAATAACATTTGTATAAGGTTACATGGAAGCGACTAAGCATGTAAACGTCTTTACTTAGTTACCTTTTGTTCAGCTTCTCTAACACGTCTTTGCCTCTCCATTTCAGCAAGCCGATCGACTTCGTCCATTTTGCTGCGTCCCTTTGATTTCTTTCTTCTGCTGCCATCATATGATGCATCACTTGTGCTAGATGTTGAAGCTGAGCGTGACCGTTTTCTATTAAAACAAATTGACATAGCCTTAAAAATTCTTACTGACATAAAATTAAAAGTTCTAATTTTATAGATAGTCACTAATTTATAATGCAATGATTAAGAATACCTTGATTTGGAACTTCTTTCCTTAGATTTTTCAACATGTTTTGAATTCCTGCTTCTGGATGAAGAACGATCTTTAGACCGACTTTTCTTACGTGAATGTTTACTGCTTTTATGGTGTCGTCTCGGTGATTTACTTCTTGATCTGGATCGGCCCATGGTATTTAATTGAGTAATTTCTAACTTTTAATGTTAAATTGTGGTAAATTGATAACGCTACCACCCCAGCTTTTTTAAGAACATTACCAAAGAGTATAAAAACCGGAGTAAACGAAATCATAGATAAAAAATGTAGATTAAAAAACTGGTCAGAGAGTAGCTCATCGTGGCGGAAAACCAGAAAGCTTATTTCGACACCATGAGGAAGTGGGTCAAGTGGGTAGTGCGGAAAGTTGTTTGTTTGCAATTTATTTTATAGTAAAAGATGGAAAACAAGTAAGCAGCCTCCCGATTTTACTAAAACGTCCCGTTCATAGAATTTAAAAGTTATCTGATGGTTTATCATTATTTTTCATATCCCAAGCTCCCAAGCTATGCGTTGTCCCCTCCCCCCACATCACACCACTAAAATTGTGTTCTGCAAACGACTTGCGCCAAGTTAAAAGTTTGGCCTCTGGTAATTTTGCACATTTACTTATGAGTGACAAATTAGTTTAGTCCTAGGACCAAAGATACTATATCCAATAGTAACTTTGTAGATATTAATACGGTAACGTGATGGAAATAACAAATGCATTTTATATTAATTGTATCAGTTTCATAACAGCAATTGTGGTGTAAGCATTATCCGTAAAAAATTATGACAAATTACGTAGCATTGTACACTTTTTCTTTTTCACTAATAAATGTTAAAATATCTGAAGATGCTTGGAGTACATAATCTTTTAATTTTTTATCAATATTTCCAGAACTACTATTTAAAGGTTTATTAACCGATTTATTGTTCTTCCTGTCTTTCATATTTCTAGGACTACTTAATTTTTGAATTTTCTTGCACTTTTTCGGATATTGTCTCATACTCTGATTAAAAATAGCATTAAATAGATTTAAATTTGAAAGGACATGATTTTGGAATAAGGACTTTTTCTTTTTACGTAGTTTTTCTGTCATTTCATTAGGGAATATATCAGAATCGTTTCTATCAAAATTTTCTTTATCGCTGGTGAAGCTAGATTGTTTTTTGTGTTCTGTTTTCTTGTCATTAAAATTATCACAAAATTGTTCTTGAATTTCATCCTCACTGTAGATTGATTTAAGTTTGTTAAGAGACGATTCAGCTTCATTTTCATCACTGGAATCCCCAAAATGCTTTATTCGATTTATTGATAAATTGCCTTTGTAGAAATAGTCATTGGGTAGAGCACATCCTCGTACAACAAGTTCTGTTGATGTACTAAATCTTGGTACAGTCATCGGCTGTTGGTAGATACATTCAAACATTCCAGTGGACGCCTTTGGATCATTGGCGTGATCTAAAACAACTATAAGAAACTGTTAGTAAATGAAAACGACGAAATTACACAAGGAACCATTTAAACAACAATGTATATACCACGCTGTTTAAAACCAAGACATTTTTATGCACAAATAAATCGCAAAAGACAAATAAGCACCCTAAATACTCCACTTTTACCGATGGTAATTCGGGAATTATTTGGATACGTATAAGAATTATTAAGTGCTCATTGATTTTACAAATTTTGTCGTGAAGGTGCGCTTATTCTCTATGGATTGGACTATACTTATATATTTTATATAACAAACCTTTAATAACGTCGTCCACAACTGCAGGGCAGATCTTAGCGGTCACCTCTGTCGTATTAGTAAGATCAGGACATGAGTTTATTTCAATCAGCCAAGGTGTATACTCTTCGTCAAGCAGGAAGTCGCAGCCGTACAGCTCAAAACGGTTTTTGCATAACGGCAAAGAATCTTGCCCGCTGAGCATAATTCCAATAATCGATTTCTTCATACCGGGATAAATAATATGGTCCCAGACTCCATCGCCACCAATCTTACTTAAATATTTTTTATACATATTTAGTTCCCACATATTATTCATAGGTAGCTCTGGATGTCGACCCGCATAATTATTATATTTCTTTTGAACCGCGTTGTTCGTTAGATGTATAGATTCATGATAGTTCTCGAGGTTATAATTTTGCGAACTAAACTTCAAATAGCAATCTTTATACATCCATATAACCAGAGGATATGTACTGGTTACCAAGTAATATTGTCGTATGTCAAATTTTGTTTCGTGAATTAACAATGGTTTTTCTGAAATTCGTATCAAGACTTGTAGAATTAAACGATTTGAGAAACAGGATAAAAAATTAAATTCAGATGAGTTGATTGACTTACCGATATATTTTTGAACGACGTACTTAGAATTGGCTTTGTTCAATAGTTCTATAATAACACCTAATTTAGAGGCCATTCTAATTCCCCTGCCTCTTGACCAATGTCCAGGCTTTATAATCCAAATATTTTGATACCCCTCACATCTTACTTGTGGACGATAAACGTAAATCTTTTCCAATATAAATTGAGCGTATCCAATATAAAGAAGTAGTCTGTTTTCTTTATCGGCTTCAAATAGCTCCTTGTTAGTTATAACACGATAGTACTTTTTTAAAAAAGCATTCCACTGTCTTGGGCTGACCGGTTTAATTGGATAATCAATATCTCTATTACGTTTCTGTAACAAATATTCTTTGCATCTGTTCAATGCAAAGGTCATCACCTTCATTGGGATGGTTCCTGTTTCAGCAAATACCGTAACATTATTTGCAAGCATAGATATAACCCATTGTATAAGACTAGTGCACGCTGTTATTCTATAATCTGCAATAAATTCTTCGATTTCTCCATTATCGTAACTATTATAAGTCCGTGGACAGCACACTTCGGCTACATCTTCTATATAAAACCAATAATTAATCTTCATATATGTGCACAAACCTTGTTTTGTCGTCCACAAGGCGTCTGCTTTAAGCTTATTGACAATAGTTTTACATCCATTTTTCATATCGATGGCTGTGTCATAATCTTGTTGTGTGTCGCGCCAAACGAAATTAGGATTACATTTCTCAACTAAATTCGACAGCATAAGTCTCTCCAGCTCGTAATGTATATCGGTTTTGCTAGACATTTTTCCATTGTTTATTTTAAACATATTTATACGATTTGGTGGAATTTTTTCTACCCACCCCCTTTGTACTAAAGCTTTCCGCACTGCGTTGCACGTACCGAAGATGGAAAAGACTTTATTTTCCCGTTTCGCTTTAGAAGCAAGATCTTTTAATTTTGAATATCGAGAAGATTTATTTTGCAAACTTGATATTATGTAAGACTTTTCTTTTGAACTAAGTCCTAGCGAACGGATTGTATTTTTATACATTGTTGGATCTTTTTTACAAACAATTTTTTTTCGTGTTGTAACACTTTTTGCTGATTTGGTATGAGCTGAGTGTGGCTCTTTGAAATCTTTGCATTTGTTATTATTGAAAGAAATCTGTTTCTGAAATAGATTAGACTTGTAAATAAATAACTTATTACAATAAAAAAATTATTGTAAGAACTTAAAAGAAATGTAAAAAAGGAAAAATAAACGGAAACGGAGACTCAATATTTGCCCACGCGTCGTGTTGATGCGGAAATACCAACAAAGCAAATGAACAGATCATTATCAGACTTATTACGCACAGCGAACACTTTTAGGGATTAAGTATTTATTTTTAAACTAGCACATCCTCGTTTTAAAATTTAACAGCCTAGAAAAATAACATTAGGTACCTTTTTTGTCCGTTTGCTTTGACTTCTGACGAGCTTTTTTCTTGGCGGCATTTTTGCTGTTTTTAATGAGTGGGGCCTTTTTTTAATCATTTCATTTTTTGTCTCGAGCAAATTATGCTAGAAAATATTAATTTCTTTAATGACGGATACTTTCTTAGATGCTTCATTCTTTAATTTTGTTTTTCAACTTACGGCGTTATGGCTTTTGTATATTAATTACTTTAATTTTGAATTTGTTTAGGTTTAGGAAAAACATTTTAACATATTTAAATATATAAAGACAGTGAGAGATGAATAACAAATACTTAAATTTTAAGCGTACTTTTAAATTATATAAAAAATCACTCCATACACAATGTACATATATATTAAAAGTTTACCTGTTATAATTCCGAAATCAATTGGGATATAATTACATAACTTCTTTTTTTCTATTATTTTTATTGCTTAACATATTAAAATTTGGCATGTTTTTAATTTTGATGACACTGATGAACCATAGATGGTTTATTTTTATTTTTTTATTTACCTTTTACTCTAGGACTTAACATGGCAACATTAATAAGAGTGAAAATAAAAAAGGTTAACACGGGGTTTATTTTAATATTTATACCAAATAAATATTAAAATAATTTAAAGTAACTAAATAAATATCAAGATTAATCTAAAAACGCTTGCAGATGAAAACCTTTAGCTAAACTTTATATAACAACATATTGTTATACGTAATGTGTCGACATACTCGTATTATGTACGATGATAATCCTTTTTTTGTGATGCCAATTTTATGCCAATGCTTTATAGCATCAACTGTGCATGTCGCAGCACAATGTAGTCCATGGATTAAAAGATAAACTTATGGAATAATGTGTGTTTATAAAAGAAAACTAATCATGCAAATATTATTATTTTATTTGTGGAAATAAAAATCTAAAATTTCAACAAATGTAGTAAATACCATATATCTTCAACATATTATCTGTAACACTTTTTTAATATAGATTCTGTAATAGTAACAAAGGTTTTCATAAAGTTGGAGATATTTGGATTGCGGTCTTCCCCTTGAATAATGTATTAGGGGTTTCGCCATTCGGAGGCAATACCACAACTCCGTAAGTCGGGTAAATTGATGTGCAGCTTTTTGAAAAACTAATTGATTTCTGTTTTGCTCTATTTTCGTTTTGAATTCTACAAATGTTTCTACCGATGGCGCTTAGTTTTTTTAATGAGTTTGAATCGTTAGCACAACTTCGTGAGCTCATTGGTTGCAATAAAGACTTTTGGTTGACACCAACGAGACCAGATTTGGTTTGTCTTAAAGGCGCAAGATTTTCAGTACGAGCTGCGAGTTTGTTTTGAACCGAAATCGTGGATCTTAATATGCTGGCCGTCTCTCGTTCCCATTCTACAGGGTCGATGTAACATCTCTTGTTACCAACCGACATATCGAT